TCAACCCTTGGTGTCAGGGATCATAGATCTTAAGACTTCTAGAACACACGACAGTAACATCTGGTTATACCTAGTATACACCCATACGTCACGCGGGCTTACATATGGACATATGCGATTGCGGAGGGCCAACGAGAATCTGACTTTTGGGCAAGTTACATTATTGAAGCAGTTTGGTATATCAGTAATGACTAGCGAAACCGGCGTGCGCGCATCATCCATCGCCTTTCTTCTCCGAAATAAGTGCATCAGGTTAGTCTAGCCTCGGTTATATCACTTGTAAAGAAATATGTTAGAGCAACAAGTATTGTCGATGTGAGGGCGTACTATTCAGATTCATAAAACGAGCACACTTCCATCTCCGTTGCTGTTGGCTAGAAAGCACCTTGGGTGACATTCTATCAACTTCGAAGGAATGGCCGCATTACCTGCGGCCTACTGTACTCCATGGTTGGACTGGCGGTGGTTCTCCTCCCTTTTTACTGCTTATTGTTTTCCCACTGTCTAACATGCCTAGCATGCGCTCAGTCGTTTGACTACCTACAGGCTATAGTCATACGCATCCTCATCTCACGATCACTCGTTTCTATGGCATCTCGGCGCGCTACTACTGCAAGTTATGTGTCAACGAGACGGCATATTCACATTGGGAGGAGCTATTGGGCCTAATATCTATAGATCAATTTACTATCTATGTTAGTATACCGAGTTTTAATGCAAAATGATCCGTACTTGGTGAGAAGTTGATATTCTAACTACGGTACTGTGCACTTCCTACCTATATACTGTACGTACTTGTTATACTATCTACAAGAAAGGCTAGATGTTTTCAGTAGTTCTCAGCTGTTGGTCAAAGGGGCCTGAAAGGGGGGTACGTCTTCGATTTCCCCTCTCCCAGATGGCAAGTATCGCCCTGAGAGTTTTGACGAGCTGGAACAACTATCGATGCTATCTAGCCTACCAAATTCGAGTCTCCTATTACGACTTTGGAGTTCAAAAGGCTCGCGGGTATCGGCCGCCACTATGTTGCATTGCGCTCGAAAGATTTATTAGGGCCGAGGCCATATATGTAAGTAAGTACTGCAGCATTTCCCGGCGTGCCCGGTAACAAGTAGGTTGCAAGCACAAAGACTTGAACCTCCTGTCTGGCCGCGAGAAAGACCTAGCCTTCGCAGTTAGTGGAATTAGCATGACTGACTGATGGATACCCAGTGTGTATAACCGATTCTTGTGCTATTACCTACGCAGAGCCAGTGCAAATGAAAGTTTCACACCTGTATAGGCCCTCCAACTTCAATACCCGATAACACAACCAACAATGCTGTTCACAATGAAAAATAATACAGGTACATAAGTCAAAGCGTTTTAATTCTGATACGTATTTTTTTTTAGAAATTTTATTCGTTGTTTTACGCAGTTGTTGCAACGAAAACAGAGTATTAAGCTTTTTAGGTGTGAAATTTTCATTTGCACTGGCTCTGACCTACGTATACGTTACCTACAGTACTTACAATCAATGGCTTAGGTCGGCTTACATTATCTCAAAAGAGGTGCACTTACCAGGTTACTGCAGTGCACTATATTAGTGTAAGTCCCCGAGTACCCCTGAACCTGGCTCGAGGTTTCCAGAGGCTTTTCAGCTGCCGGACCCATGGATGCCTTGTGAATACACTGTACACACAAGCTATGAGCCAAGTCATCGGAAATACTCTGCTTTGAGTTTAGAGCCATCCATGTCTATAACCAAGTATAGTCAAGCGGCTCTTAGAACCCCTTCAACTTATTCTATTCTAGGTCTAGCTAGCTGACCAGGTACAATTATTCACGGAATCGTGCCCACATTTCATCATGACCAGATGGGTGCCTTTTCAGGAGTTACATCGAACTCCTTCAATACATTACGCACCCTTTGGCCTCTCTTCTCCGTTGCGCCCTTTACAGTAGGTAGATGAACAATAGCAGTACCGAGTACAGTAAATTTAATTTAATAATGTGTACAAGGATAAACGGTCCGCCAACAAAGTGAGCCTTGCGTTGTCGCAAATACAACTACGATACACTACCATTTCACCTTTTTCCCTCTTCACACTACCGCTTTCTTACAATCAAGGCAGTTGATTACCTCTTTCTTTGTATCACACGCTATATCACGGGGGCCGAATTGAATTCTCGGCTCTGGGAGAGAGGCGACCTCTTAGAGACGACCAAGTTGCCTACTATCTCCCTGAGAACCATCCCTTACATTGTGACCCCCAATTCTTTTGTTCCTCAAACAAAAGCTGGTCACCTACCTGCCACTAGCCTCCCACGCTTCTCAGCCAATATGACTTTTTGAGAGCAAATAAAGAGTCCAGTTTCTTTGCTTGCAGATCATCACACGACGAGCGTCTGTTAAGAAACGCTTTGCGCTGCTCACGACATAATAACAACGAGTAACTACCACACTCAGGAGCATCCGCAATCCTCATGGAGGGTGTTCTTCTTGTACCCCCGGACCGGGGTCCCATTATTGGAAAGCCTGTCTGGAAGGTAGCCGCCCTCACTAACTGCGCACTTCATCTCACTTCGTCGGAATGCTAATTGATTGTTTCTAGCCACGTTATGTTATTGTTGGTCCGCAGCACCAAAAAGAAGGCCAATCTCCGAATCTCTCGCTTTCTCAGGTTTTGTCTACTGCTCGGATAAGAGATGTGGGTGTTCGGTCCTCGAAATCACAACTGAAGGCCCCTGCAGACGCCCTCTACTTTTCAGTATACAAGTCCAAGGTATGCAATGTTAATTTGAATGTATAACTTGCAATGCTAACATAGCAATAGGAGGATTCCGAGCCTATCATTCAGCACTCAATTGCGTTGATAACGGAGTGTCAAGTGCAGCACATTGCCCACCGGAAGCAGGGTCATCTTCTTCCTACTCTAACTATGCAAATCTCCCCCGATCCGGCAACCGACAAGTTACGAAAACGTCGCTCGAGCCGGACTACTGGGCTAATCACGAACAAAGATTCTAACCCAACGAAGCTATGGTTTCTCGCTGCCGAGGAGTCACAGTATGGCGTGAACGACTGGGCAAGGTATATTCAGTCGCTCATGCAATATCAGCAGTCTGTTCCTATGAGTCCAGTCAGTCCAACATCGCCGGCCTTCATTAGCCCGTTTCCACCGATACAAGACGCTGTCGAAAAACGTGGACCTGTGTCAAGTGCAAAGGGAAAGTTGCGGTCCAAGTTGCAACCAAGGTCATCCGGTAGAACTCGTCCATCGACACGGGAACAAAGCTCCGCATATACTTCCGAGTCCCCAAGCCTGCGCTCTCGCAAGAGTGACCTTTCTTCTCATGGGAGTTCCATGGTACCGACCAGTGCGAATTTTGCGCAGCAACATTATGCGAATCTACAGCACTCTGATCTGCCTTCTCCCGCTTCCACCTTGGATGAGCATCCAGAGCAGTTCATAGAAGGATGGACAGCGTCACAAGGACGGTCCTCTGCCTTGAGCTCCCCGATCAGGGCCCGCGGAAGCATCAGCTCTTCCCTTGACCCCAGTGGACCTAGCCTAGAGTCCAGCCCCCGCGTAGCGCCCCGTGAGACCATCTTAGATCGGGCATTTCAAATGCGATGTATCCCGGGATCTGATAGAGAGGTTGCTGGAGAGGAGAAGCTCACGTCACTCGCCAGGTTTGAGGCACTGATGCGTGAATCAGAAAACCGCCAAAGGAACGTTGGGAGAAGAGAGGTAGCGCAAGAACCATTGAAAAGCACATGGGAAGATGATGACAGCGATGATGATGATTTTGGTGGAGGAGCTGAGGATGACGACGACGATAGTGACAACTATGCCTTGGAACATTACGATGAACATAACGAGATAGATGCCTCATTGAGAGCGCTTCACTTTATTGCCGATCGTCACACCTCAACCTATAGCGAAGCTGGGCTGAGCAGTATTCTACGGCCGCACACGGCACACTCACGAAGTAGGCCGGTAGCCCAGCGAACGAATAGCCAACCACACATTCAGACACCGCCACTGCACATGCTTTCATCTTCTCCAAGAGTGCCAGAAGGAGGTCCGATGCGGCGAAGTCACGAGAAACGGCATTCGACATCAAATCTCAGTTTCAACGAATTCGCGAAACGATTGAGCGGCACGAGCAGTTTGCTTCTTGTACAGTCGAACGCTAGCACCGGCAGCAATCGTGGCAGTGGTGATTACGATACACATACACCTCGTGGAACTCAGACCCCTGACGACCGCTGTCGGTGGCGCGGCAGTATCGGTGTATTCGGAAACGAAGGCGGATTCCTATGATTCAGCACCGCGAAACTCCCATTTATATGCCAATTTTATTCGAAATTTTTATTATACTACTTGAGCCTTCGATTGTATTAGTTACGACTTAGCCCCAATGGCCTTTATACACGACTTTACGATGATCGACTTCGGCGGCCCAGTGTCATGCGATATTAGACGGCACAACATGTCATATTTTATGATTCTCAGCGAACGACATGATTCAAACGGCCTTTTTAAAAACTATTCTTTCTTTGTAACTATTTTTTGAAAACACTGGAAAACAAACAACGAGAGATATTTGAAGACGAATTACCATTTTTTCACTTTAACCACCTGGATTTTGGAGCGGGTCTACGAAAGGAAACTTAGATTGGGACGCCCTCGGCAAACGGAGGACCGTTGCCCACCTCTCATCTCAGAGTACTGGACTTCAATAACTTATCATTTTAGCTATGTTGCACGAACAGCGAGAGAGAGAGAGAGAGCATGGATGACTTTTATCAAGACGATTTTGCGCAGACATAAGAGATACCCTAGGGCACCATAGAAATTAGCAAGCAACGATTAAAAAAGAAAAAGAAAAAAACATTTTTTTCCCCTGATTCAACTGCGTTTGTATGTCTTATGCCATGATTTTGACCAGTAACACCTGATCACATCACAACAAATGCCGATGTAAAAAGTGCTACAAATCTACAAAAGTTATGGACGAACGGGGATTTGAACCCCGGACCCTTCGCAGGCACGGCATCTGATGGATGTATCAGATTATATGCAAAGCGAATATCATACCCCTAGACCATTCGCCCAAAGAAGATTCAACATGTAGCTGATCGCGTTGCATCGATCACGGGACTCGAACCCGCAACCCCAGACTTAGGAGGTCTGTACGCTACCATTGCGCCAAATCGACTGTCTGACGGCTCTGTTTGCAATTGGGGGTCATCAATTCCGGTTGGAATTCAGAAACTGCGATATCGGAGCTAAGCGAAGGGAGGCTAAGCTAGATTCGGCTCGTCTTTGTGGTTAGGCAGATAGGTATTTAGAGAGGGTATATCTACTTATGTTGTGCGGAATGTTGTCACTTGGGAAAAATACCATGCATTAGTTTAAATAATGACATGGAACATGACATGAAACATTTCCGTTTACCTTACCCACTTGTTTGTTTCTTGCCATCAAACATGCATATTAGTGGGACGTGGGAAGGCGACGCAGGTATCTAGTTGGTTTGTAAACCTAAAGCCGACACCATATCGAATGCTTGAACAAGTGTGTTCATTTTACCATAGGGAAATATATTATATGATAAGCATTCATGCGAGTTATAAGAGTCTTAAGCTCCCGCTTTGTCCTATGTCTTGAATGTCATCATTTTTTCTTGAGATACCTACCCTGTCACGTGGTAAGGACTACCAGAAATGCATCAGGGCCCAGCACGCCTGGTAAGACAAACAGACAGAGAGCACAGCGGCTATTTGCCGACGATATCACGAGGTTGAGGCTGAAATGGAAGGGGGAACTGAGTCGGAGCTTGGTCGGAGAGGGAGTAGATCGTCAACCCAAATTGTACGTGTATACAGATATTCTGGACTAGAGGAAGCCAAGGACTTCTTTAGACCTAAAAAGAATCATAAGCCAAATCGAATCTATTGTTCTAATCCATTGTCACATATCCGAATCAATGACAACTCATAATCATAGATAGACATAAGAAAATACATACATACATTCAAAGAAGTGACTACCACCCAATAATATTATCTGTATGTTAGCCAACCCGACTATTTACAGCTCGAGTACCGTAACAAATAGTTATTTAGTTGTAGTGAGGACTGACTCGACCAAACTAACAAACGTAAATAAATATTGTAAAATGAGCTAAGTAACAAGAAAAAATCTGATTATCGGAAAGGGCTTACCATCTCAAATGCCAAAGGATTTGCTATACAAGTAACTAGGAAGGACATAGCGTACCTTTATGTCATACCTTGTAATGCCGCTATATACAACAACCATTCCTAGAGTCAAGAGACGCAGTTCTACTCTACATGTATTTACTGTCACTCGAGTTAAAAGAAGGAAAGTTCTATCTGGCATATTTTGTATGGCATGGCACGATAACTAATCACAAGGCATTCATCCTCATATATCAACGTCTTTGCAGCCAATGACTATTACTTGCCCTTCCTCAGCGATACCCTATAACACGAGTTACCAATTTCGAATCCGTGAAAGCCAACAACGAAAAAGAAACAATAATCTGTACATATAGTCAACAAGCAATCAGCAAAGACCTCACCGGCCCTCCGCTTGCTATCGAAAATCCCATTCCATCATGCATGAATAAGAATAGAGTGAATATAACAAATTCATAACGGCGGTCTGTTCTCAGCCTACATCTTGAATAAAACATCGCCTCTAAACAGAGCACCTTTCCTAACCAATCTATGAGCGACACTGTAAGTAGACCCTCCGAAACTTCTACAATCAATATTATCACTGACTTGGACCTCAGGCTAAGAATGCTTTCCATCAGACGCAACAGCTCCGTGCACAGACCAGCTGGATATCAAGCGAGGAAGCTATTCCATCACCGCAAACAACATGCATCATAAACCAATAAAAATCTAGATTCGAGAAGAAATAGGACAAACGCCTACATCTAAAGCCGTCTACTTTATGGTACTTGAAACAGATAAACATACACCCCTCACGTAGCAGCAAGCCATAACTCAACCAAATACCCACAAAATAATCGTGAGAGGAATGTTTCTTCCGCATTGAACCAAGAAAAGACACGAGAGGCGTGTATACCTACAAGATAAACCACCCGCTTGCCCTAACACCAGTAAGCCGGAGCTTTTAATGCAATGTATCTATGTATGTAGTATAATAACGTCGTTAAACCTGTTACAGCCAGGAATACAATACAGCCATGGCTGGTTATAAAACGGTTAAGAATAATCATCTCAACAACAAAAAAGACAACAACACCCGCAACGCCGCCTCTCATGTTTGATGATGGCTTACAATGTGTCTTGCTAGCCGGGTATTTCTAACAACAGACTGGCAGTATTTCCCACCCTGACCATTCACTTTGTGCAGATTCCCTATTTGAAGGGCGCTCGATCCTCTCACAATATTGACTATGCCAAATCCTTTTGCGCCTACAAACTCCAGACCAAAATTTTGATGGAAAAAGCCAGCCAATCTCAATAACCGCCCCGCCTCTGCATGGCACTGGTATCGCTTCGACTTCTGTCCCTACCAGCGCCTTGGCGTACAGCATCACTATAACTAGGAATTGGGGGGTTGTTCGGGCGGAGTGCGGCAGCAGAAACCCCACGACTCCGCATCGGAGTCCTGATTAACGGAGCAACGTCGCTCTCAGAACCGCTGCCATCTTCGTCGGAATGTTCGGGACTGGTATATTCGGGCGGTGGATGTGAAGCTTCGTGCAGGCTTAGCCCAGCGATATTGACCACATGATCTCCAGAGGGTGCAAAGCCGTGACCGCTGTTGCTCCCTTCGCCTGCCTCGTCCGTTGGAACTAACTGTGCAAGAGAAATATCCGTAGGACTTCTCTGCGGTCCTGGACTGGTGGGTGGAAGTACTCGGTAACTGCCGCTGCGCGTTCGAGCATGACCGGAATCTAGTATAGAGCCTCGGTTGATATATGTGTGAAGTGACTGTGAATAGGAGTGAGTTTGCGATGGTGATCCCGGAGCCTCGTCCTTCCTACGGCCGGATTCCAGTAGGATACTACCCTGTTCGCTCCCATAAGGTGGCGGCGGTGCCAAACTGCCAGTCATAGGCGCAAGCCCCCATTTCTTTACATTGGCCTCGATAAAGACAAACCCAGCCTGTCCAAAATTGACATGAATAATGCAGGGACCGTTGGCACCAACCGAGGGAAAGAAGTTTTGCGACTTTAAACCGTGAACGACATCATCTAATCGTCTGCCATTACGTGTGAAGAAAATAGTACCAGTTCGAGGGCGGTAACCAACGCCGATAACGTCACCTTGAACGATTGGAGGCCCGTATGGCGATGGCATGAAGGGTTGGTTATATCTCCGTGCGCCTGTAGATGTATAGGCAGCCGAATATTTGTGGTACCCTAGAGACAATGTTAAGCCGTGAACAGAGCCACAGAAATACACGACACACGTACCTGGAAGTCTGAATAACGGGTAGGGTTTCGTAGACATTCCGATGCTTAATAAAGTAGATTCGGGCTTTTCGAATACTTTTGCCTCCCAGTAATAAACTTCATTTTGTTTTGGCACAGGTAAATTGCTCATGACCGTACATTCGGAGTCAAAAAATTCAATCTCGGTCCTGCCTTCGACGAAACAGTTGGCGATTTCTAATTCCGGCTCAAACTCCCATGCTGATACGCCCTTCTCTTGAATAGCTAAATATTGTGATAATGAAATGTCCGTCTGGATTGACTCGGGTGGGTTTCCCTGTATAAAGGCTGATAACTAGTTAGGCTGGGAATACAACACAGCATTTGGGGAACTGTCTCGTGTCCCCAATGGTAAGGAAAGAGGGCCTACCTTTTGCTCTGAGATATTCGGTCCTCTGCATATCATCCATCGTTTCCAGGGCCTCGGCCTCTTCTCTTGCGAATGCCTGCTCATCATCATACTCGCCGGGCCGGCCGATGCGGTCCAGGAAGATGCGACCGGATGCGGTGTGGCGAAAGAAATAGATGACGAGGAAGATGACAGCCACTATGACGGCAGAGCCAAAGGACGAAAGTAGTCCGATGACGATGCCATCTAGAGGACTCGTCATGATGGGCAAGTGGTGATCGTGTATTGCTGGTAAAATAAGCGAGATCCAAAGCTGGGACGCCGCCGTCACCGGTTTGCCACAGTCATTCGGCCGCAGTCCTTTCGAGGACGAATATCACGGTGCTGTAGCGAGAGAAAAGGATAACGTCGCTATTATCAAACTGTTCGACAGGTCTTTCGAAGATATGGGGATGTCGTTTAAGTGGGACGAGGAACGGTGGAGGTTGTCGTAGTTATAGTTCCCGTCGTAGATCGCACAACTTCAATAGCCCAACGGACTGAATGGTGGAATGTGGCGACGATAAGGTAATAGACGCTGCGCTATGCTACGGTAAGGGTGAGTTTGCGCCCGTTTGCTGTCGGTGTGAGTACCTGGGTCTGGACTGGACTGGACTGGAGATGACGATGGCGATGGTGCCGATGAGGATGGCAGAAGGCGAAAGAAAGAAAGATGCAAGACGCAGAGACCTCAATGGGAAAGAAAGCGAATAGCTTCGCGACCTGCTTGAAACGATTGGTCTAGTATATACTAATAGGTGAGGGAAGATAGCAAGCCAGCTTGGAGGAGGAATCGGAGTAACTGAATGGTAGAACGATAGCGAAGAAGGGCACCTAACGTGTGACTGGTTACAGAGAGAATTGAGTGTGGGATTGGGGTAATAATGGGGACCGCTATGCAGCAATGCAGGTTGGACGACGACAACAACGTCGAAGTGTGGTCTCGATGCAGTCTGTGTAGCGGGTTAGCACAGCAGGTACGAAGTGCTGAGCTGGCGCGGTGGCCTCTTCCCGCTGCGCCCGAGCAAATCGTCAGGGTCGTAGCAATCTGGGCACCTGGCTTGGCCTTTCCGGATTTGTCGGTGGCGGCTGGGGCCTGCTGGGGTCGACTGATACAACCTCCGCTTTAGTGACTGTTAGTGGTTCGCCGTTGGGTGCACTTTTACCTTAACAGGAAGTGGGGTGACTTTCAAAGTTCACAGTAAACGCTATCTGCTCCATTTTTC